CCGTTAAGCTAATCTGCTCCCCTGGGTGCATATCCAGTACAGTGCAACCCCTTTAACCACCTTCGCTACAAAGGACTGCTACTATCACACCACTGTGTGAGGATTAGTGCTTACCGCACATACAGTCTATTCACCATGCAGCTGCTGGTTCAATGGGGCCTGCTGCTGGACAAAGCCCTCCATTCAGGGCATACCACAGCCCAGCAGTCGCGGTCAAAATAATCCCGCTGCGAAGGGGGTTAAAGAGACCTGTCAATAAACGGGCCCCTCCATAACCTATAAAAACCCATCAATTGGCCACAACATCGGCGTATCCCAAACTGGCTAGTATATTGAGTGAAGGCCACAAGGCTTGCACTTACCCTAACGATGATGGCCACGGTTGCGGCACCAGCCACTTTCACGGCTCGATCCTGATTGAGCCGAGACTGCTCGCCGGCCACAGTGGTCAGAACTTGGCGCTCTTCCGAATCGGCAGTGGGCGCCACAAAAGCCTTGTAGGTAAGCTTGCCCGTTCCCGTGCAGCCGACGACGCTGATGTCAACCTGAGAACACAGAGATCATTAGCGGCGTTTCATGCAGCAAGCCGGAGCCGTGCACCAACCCAGTTTAAGGATTTGTTGGCTGCTGTGATGTGGGATGAAATGTTTTGAAAACGCCAGGAACGCATTGTGCCCAATGCAAAGCTGAGGGCGCTATGCGTACCCGAGGGAGATAAAACTTTCCTACATCACGGCAGTCAACCGCTGTCTTGTCATCATAATTCTGTCTTGAGGATGTTTTCCACTTGTTTTTCTTGGGGAAATTATGGACATCAAAGGAATCTTTGAACACTAGCAGTCATCATCCTGTACTCAGCAGGGGCGTGCGTACGTGCGTCCAAGCAATATCTGAAAAGGTGCCGTTATCTCTTCAGCTTATTATTTTCCTCTTGCGAGGAATTGGAACGCATGACCACTTGTACACGGTCTCTCTGAAATGTGAGCTGGGCAAAATCATGAGGAAATGCCAATGTGAAAACCTGGAGAAAGAAGTTCCCGTTTTTAACACTTTTGCTAGCTGAGACTTCAATGCCGATCTGGAGAGAGGAGTTCTAATAACCTTTTACATTTTTCTGCTTCCTATGGATTGAGGCGCAGGGCAATGAATATCGCCGCTGTTGTGAATAAGGTGGCCTGCCTACAAAGGCAGGGTCAGGTTGGCGTGGTTGTTCTTTCCTCGCCTACCATCTCCGTGGTCCTGGGTTCCATTGCCAGCCCGGTCCACATGTGGATTGGGTTTTTCAGTCCCTATCTGATTCCGTGGGTTTTACCCAGAATATTACTCTGGGGATTTCCCTCCCACTTCTAAAACTGTAACTGCTTCTCGTTGTCTCATGTCTACAGGTTTCTTCAAGGCTTGGGAGCTTACAGTGCCTGAGGCACTCAGTTGAGGTATAATAAAATTAATTACTATTAACGAAAATGAGTCACTTGGGAGACATTCCCATAGGAACGTGTACAAAATGTTTCATACTTTACCGTCCCATAATTCAATATTCCCTGATCCGATCTTAACCAAACTTTACATGTTTTCCTTTCAGACCCTAATCTATCATCTCTCAAAATGTGGACAATAAAAATTTTCCTCCTTTTGGTAGCTAGAGCATTAGGGAGACATTAAAATGTCTCCCTAATGACCGATGTCTCCCTAATGTTGAAAAATTAACACAAAATGTCTCCAAGTGACCTATTTGGAAATATCAAAGTAACAACAAAATAATAAAGCAGGTCAGTCTGAGAGATCACACGTACTATTTCAAAAACGCGGTACTCCTGGCTTTGTAGCTGCACTGTGCATCCTGAGACGCCTTTGAAAACGGTGATAGTTGTTGAAGCCGACGACGCCACTTGACCCGGAAAGTCCTTCACATTGGCCTTCACGGTATAGTCACTGCCGGCTGCTAGCATGCCTGTACCAACCAAGAGATGCAAAAAGGCAGTGCTGTCTGGTCTAATTCCAAACCTTTAACTATGTAGGGGCTGATAAGAACTACTGAAATAGGGAGGGAAGGATGAAGCCTAAAAGGTCCTGGAACCTGTCATAGTTCAAGAGTGTAAACTGTACATGACCATGGTGTTAATGAAAGCATGCTTTATTTGAACTTTTCACGACCTTGTCTATGGAGCGCCTTGTGATACAAAATTACACAAATGATCTTGCAAGCGATGGGGCGCCTTTGATACAAAATAAATGGCAGTGAATACTAACTACATCTCTACTTAAGGACCCCATCAACAATTTTCTTTAGTTCAGGTCAATTAAGCTATCTGCAATGCAGATTATTTCCAAATTCTCTTAATTTTGAAAATTTTAAGGCCCTTCAAAACAACTTTGTTTCATTCAGGCATGCAACTTGGACTTGGACAATAAAAGAGGAAATTCCAATCTTTACAACACTTTGTACTCTGACAATAATGACTACTCAACAACTACTTTTTAACAAAGGTGGGAGACCAGAAAAACTTGGAGGTTCACCGGGCTACTTCCAAGGGTTGTCAAACACTGAAAAGAGATGCCTTATTGCCACTTTCACAAATTTCTTTGGTTTCTTTTTAACAGATTTCTCGGACAAGTACACAGCCTTTCCTTTCAATTTTCAGACAAAATGTGGAAATTGGCAATGATTCTCGGCTATTTAGTTTATTTAAAACCACAAACAAAACTAAACAATGGTGGCTTGGAAAACTTCACTGCCTGCCCGGTCCACTTAGCAGACGGTGGGCAGTCCTGTCTTTCACGGACCTTTAGGGATGGCGAAGCTCGCTCTGATGGCCGTCCCCCGGCTGACACTGGTGGACGTGGCTCCCTGCACCGTTTGCTGCACGCCCCCTTTCAGCACCAGCCACTCCACGCTGGACCCCAGCGCGGCGTTGCTGATCTGGGCCGTGACCACCACGTCCCTGGACGGCTGGAACTTGCCCTGGAAGGGTGCCGAGAGCTCAATCTGGGGGTACGACAAGGAGGAGCAATTTCTAAAGCGCCATGTGTGAAGTGGGCAGAGCATCTCTGTTCCTCACGATGTAAGTGGACAAATACAATGAAAGCGTCTCCAGTCTTCCCCGAATGGCTGGTAGAGTACTTCCGTATTCATATGAAGTGAAATCGTTGGACAACATCATCGGAAAGCTGTACATAACTTTAAACTCGTTTTAGACTTTCTGACTCAAAAGGTATTCATCAAAGGGAATGAATATGTGCTTGAACGTGGTTTTTTTTTTGGTTCAGGAGAATGGACACGACTCGCGCCCAAACTGCAGGCGAGGGCATTATCAGCTTTCATTCTCTTTAGCTGGTCTTAAATGTAACCGGCCAAATGCATATTTATTCCCTTATTTTACAGAATACAGGAATACAAAGGTCAACAGGGGTCATGGATCCTGTGTTCCAATGCATTCCTCAACCAGATTCCCTTTCCCCTCCAAAAAAAAAAAAAAAAACCAAACAAATTATGGCTCCAACGGCAACGTCCACCGCACTGTGGTACAGTCGTCATTCCCTGAACGGGGTCCCCCAACCACTACAAAATGTTATGAGGTTGTTGAACCGCACTGATTTCATTACTGGATGTCTGCCAAGTACAAACTCCGAGACTCCGAGAGCAGGTATTAGCGTTACATAGTTACCGACGTCAATCCCCGGACTTGAAACAGACAGTTGTGGAGGGGGTGTTTAAAGATTGGGGTTGGACTGTGTTGTAAAATGCTGTTATCAAAGACTAGCTAGCAGAGTCTTACACTGGCTTTGGCTCCCGTACAAAGTCAGAGTAAACAAAGAGGCCTCGGAATGGAAGATTTTGG